TACATTAGTGTGGATCCACTGTGGGTTCATATGAATTAACCAGCAGTGTAAACAGCAGTCAGTACAAACAGTGTGAAAGCCACTTCGTCCGCACTGCAGTAAACAGTGTGAATAATGCAGGTATGAAGGCTGGATGGTTTGAAACTCATATGTATCATAATTCTCCTTCAGGCTTCAGGCTGAATAGCTGACAACCCGCAGCTCGCGGCCATTAAAATTCGCTCTGCTCTCTAAATAAACAGCCACGTTCAGTCCAGAGATCTAAGTTTAGATCTTGTTTATATGAACTGTACAAAACAAAGAATGCAGACTAGCTACTTTACTTTTTTTCTCTTTGATATCACTGTGAAGACAAACCGAGCTTTAAAGTTTCCTAACGTGTGCTGCTTTCTATGTATTAATAATACTGTATATCACAGCACAGATACATTTCAGTGGATATTTAAATAAAACAAACAATTATTATTATTATTATTATTAGTAGTAGTAGTAGTAGTAGTAGTAGTATTAGTATTATTATTTTATTTACTTTTTAAATAATAATAATTAAAAATAATAAAAATAATAATCAGTCATCAACATTTATTTTCTTTCAGAATGAAGCACCGTCATTCAGTTACACGTGCTCAGTTGCTTAAATCGAAAAAAATACAGTGAAAAAATCTACATCTCTATATAATCTAAATTTATGTTGAACAAAATCTAAAATTTAGAAATACTAATATTCTTTTTCTTTTAGTCATTAGACATCAGTGAACTGCAGCTCAACAGTAAAAGACTCCATAGACTTTCTGCAGTATTTTCTGATCTGTCATTATTGGAAGACGAGCCCCCTTCGATCTTTTCTTGACAGATTTCGTTAAACTACACTCATATTGCTTTGAGCAGTTAGCGTGCAGCCTCGCAGGTGTGCTGATCTCAGGTGCGCTGTATGTGTTCGCGCTGTTAAGGCTGCTGAAGCGCCTGAGCAGAGGAGCGCGGGGTTATTGGAGGTCACGGCTCAGCTCACTGTCCACGACCACGTCAGTTACTAATCTAAACGCACCGCAGAGATTTCAGTTTGCGGTTTAAAAGTTAGCCTACGTTTACTCTTCCTTTATTATATGTATACAGTTTTATGAAAAGCAGTAATTATAAAAAGACCTCTGAATGCTGAGTGTACAGTGAGACACCCTCTTCCTCGTTAACTCTATTTATTAAAATAATAAAATAATCGCTTAACACGGACAGCAGCATCGCTCTTGCGTTTCACTGCTGTCAGATTTATTGGGCTGATTTGGTTGCCACGTTTTCTGCAGCAGTGCTGTGCGGTGAGGCTTGTTCATGCTGTAGTGCTGAACGCGGGCCTTACTTGTGCAGTTCTCGATCAGGCTACACTACATCTTGATACAAAGGCAGAACTCACTGAGCTGCAGCCTGACAATAAATTCTATAAATTAACAATTCACATCATTTCAAGTGCAGTTTGTTCAGTTCACGTTCAGCCAGGTGACAACAACCAATACTCACAGAAACGGAAATATATATATATATATATATATATACACACACATATATATATATATATATATATATATATATATATATATGTTTTATACCCACACACGCACACACACACACACACACACACACACATATATATATATATATATATATATATATATATATATAGAGAGAGAGAGAGAGAGAGAGAGAGAGAGAGAGAGAGATAGAGTGTGCGCATGGTCGTATGCTCGTATTCTTGCAGGTGTGGATGTAATGGGTGTAAAATGAAGGCAGCCATTACTCTAATGATTGAATGCGAACACATAGCGCAGATGCTCCAAATCTCTGAATGATCCCAGTTAACACTGACATAAAGACGTAAAACACAATAAATTGTGGAATAAAACTGTAAGGACCTTGGTGTTACTTAACAGTTAAACGAAATGCAACGTATATATTTATACACTATGTACACTGTGCGTGTGTATGTGTGTGTGTGTGTGTAAATATATAAATATGTACATATATATATATGTGTGTGTGTGTGTGTGTGCGCCCGCGTGGGAGCTTATACTGTGTACAATCAGACCAAGTGGTTTGCAAGTAGTGTAGAAAGTGCCATTCCACAATAATAATTCTGATGTGCGCAAAATTTAACTAAACGTTCATATATATTTAGTTTCAGATTTACACCAACTGCATCATTTCCTGATGAGTGTGATCTTACAGTTACATTAAATAAACATTAGGCTCGAAATTCTCTACTGCTGCTAGTGTAACTGCCAGGCTGCGCTCCATATTCTGTTACTCAGGCACAACAAACAAGCGCTCAAGCCAGACCAGACTGCCATAGATAGCATGATACGTGCATAACGCAGAGTTGTGGCGCGTGAAGAGCTGCATCTCCATCGTGATCCGCGCGGATCAATATCAGAACAGCATGAGCTGAGGAGGAAAGGCTCTCTGCGCGCTGCGTGACACTCTGACCTTTCACCCTCGCTACAGGTCACAGGACTTCACTCCCAAAACAGGTCACCATCGCACAGTCCAGGCAAGGAAATGAGTACAGGATCAGTGTTAGGCCTGCAGTCAAACTGTAACCATATAAACCGTATGAACTTGTGCTGCGCCCTAAACCACACACTACAATATACTGCAACTGCACTGTACTAATGAATGTACTAATGATGGTGGTGCACTGTATGAATGCAACGTAGGATAGTCGTGTGCGGCTGTGGAGAGCTCCACAAATGTTTTTGGACGTGTTGAAACGGGACGCGATTGCAAATGTAGCTACGATGCAGTAGGATGGACCACCTATGAGCTGGTACCTGCAATGCAGCAATCATGCCATATCTTTATACTGCATCTCTATACATCCCACCGAGGAAAAAAGCAATGGATTGAATTTACTGTACTTTAACGCAATGTATGTACAGTTTTGTCTTTCACCTGCTTTTGGCAGTAATTATGTTGAATATTTAACTAATGTAGATGTAATGTAAATGATGTAGCCAGTTCACTTCTCTTTCAGTGGAATAAGACCCTTTAAGACTTTTGGCTATGGTTTGTCCCAAAGCCACCGGATGGCAGTTGTGGTGTTTTTTTTTTGTTTTTTTTTGTTTTTTTTTGTCGCGTTGAACGATTGGAAGAGCGCCAAACGGCCAGCCTTTTCCCGCAGGCTTTGCACATTAATATTCATTTCATCCTCCATAGCGGAGGTTGACGCTGCTGGTTAAATCTACCGCTTATAGACACCGCCTAAGTTGCAGAAATGTCCCCGGTATTTCTGTCAAGCGAATGTACTGCAGGTTTCTGGAGCGTGCTGAGGGATGTTGGTTTTCATAACAGGCGCAGAATTGCTCAGCTGCTGAGTTTAAGGTGCTGTAGGTAGCCAGCTGATAAGGCGCTTGCCAACTGGCCTTTACCAGCCACTGTCAACAACGTTTGTGTTGGCCTGTCTCACCATAAAAATATCCATACCGAGCTGAGTGAGCACTAAATAGTCCATTGAACATAGCCGTTAAGCAAGCATAGCCTACGCTGATGTGCGCTGTACGCTGGAAGCACAACAGCCTTGTAAGTTCTAAAGGGCTAAACAGTTATTTACCAAAGCACCAGCTGTTCTACAACACAAACAGAAAATGAATAATAAAAAACGCACCCAGCTACATATCTTCATATATCTCAATGTCTCTCTGTCCAATAGCTGAAAGCGTCTATAACCTTCCAATGGTGTGTAAAAGCGCGCCCTGCAAAAGTGAAGTCAAGTTCAAGTTCATGGATGCTTAAGCTAAAACGCACTTAGCTCAATAGCTCGAGGAAAGAGGTGACCATACCGCCCAACCAACCCCCCCCCCCCAACACACACACAGGAACATGTCTCCTAAAACCAAGAAATGCTCCAGAATTTAAATAAATAAATAAATAAATAAATAAATAAAGAAAGAAAGAAAGAAAGAAAGAACAGACAAATCCAGACCTACCCAGTGGCCTACTGTGGAATGAGACATCAGTGCAATAAGTACACTAATAATACAGTCAAAGCTAGCTTGAAGCGTTTCCTACAGTTGCTACTCAAATAAATACAAACGTCACAGGCGTTTTTAGTATGGTTTTTTAGTTTAGTTTTTGAATAAACAAAACAAATCCCCCGAGCGTGGTATGACTGCGCTGTGGCAAGCGAAGCAACGCTAATGAAACCATAAGAATTAAAAGTTTAGATGAGTTATTAGTCATAGGAGACCGCGAGAAACAGTGCCGGACGAGTAAACCAGACAGGACCGAAATGTTGTGTACAACAAACACGTAGGAGAGAGAAAAGAGCCCAGGAAATTATACACACTTTAACACTTGCACCACATTTTATTATATTTGTATGCAGTAAATTTTTTTTTTATCACAATAATGGAGAAAACACCTCTTAAACTTTGAACAAAAACACATAACAAAACACCTGCCCCTGTCCAGCTCTTCATTGTACATATTTATAGTAAAGAAACATTCTTTATAAATATTGTTTCATCTGTAGCAAGTAAATACCATAATTTAATTACAAATGGATAAATATGGCAGTCGATATTTACAAAAGGAAGGGCGTGGTTACAGAAAATTGAACGGCACGACGTTTATTTTCCTCACAATCTTCCAAATATATTTCACAATTCGAACTTGCAAAGCACGAAAAAAAGGAAAACATCACAAGTTAAAAAGCCCAGCAAACTAAAGTTTACATTCACAAGCAAATCGTGTCTTGTCTTCCTTAAGTGTTGACTTTGGCACTCTTTCCAGTTAATAGATGTTTAGGTACAATCAGTTTGCCTTAATGGGGATCACAATATTTATTACCATAGGACAACTTCTTCTTTTTTTAAATCGTAATATGTGCACTAAAAAGTCCGGTTAGAGAAATAGCTACCATTGAAGCAACATCTATACACCAAAAAACTGACAAAATCTATTACAACCATTGGGAAAGAGGGCGTATAGTATTTACAAAATAAACAGTACGTCTGTGTGCACGTCTCTTCTGTTGCTGAGGATCACTCGCTCCAGGTGGAATAGCCTTTCTTTCAGATAGCAGTTCGTCCGAGCGTGGATTCGCTTCTACAAGTCTTTAGTGGACTCCGCTCTGTGTGGAGCCGTGTGAGAGATGATGCTTCTCTGTGGATTGGCACAGTCCTACACATACCACTCACTGAAGTTGGACGACAGGCCGCTGTGTCCGTTTGAGGTGTGCACCGCTGACGAAGGCGACAGATTGGTGTTGCTTTGGGTCTCGGTGGAGGGGGACACCAGGCCGGGGGGCGTAGAGGACTCGTAGCCAGAGCTGGCTGCCGGCGACGAGTCCGAGGCTGACGGCGACGATTCGTGAACCTGAAAAAAAAAATGAGAAAGAGAGACCGTTTTCAACCGTTCAGAGACCAGAGCGAGGACTGAGTGGCATCAATCAGCCTGTAAACACTATAGTGCTGTAGTCACGACAGTAACTCCTGCAGTGTTAAAAACTGATCTAGTGTGTATAAGCAGCTTTAAGCGGTTACCTTCATGTGCTTTCGGAGAGAGCTGGGGTGCGTGTAAGACTTGTCACACATTTTGCACAGATACGGTTTGTCTGAAGTGTGAACGTGCATGTGCTTCTTTCGGTCACTGCTGTTCGCGAAGCGTCTGTCGCAGCCTTCAAACTCACACTGAAACGGCTTCTCCCCTGGAGATGGAAAGAAAAAACAATGAAGGACGAAAATCATGAGAAAGATTCAACAGCTGCTATGTATGAAATGCCCAACTTCATCAACACTGTACATGATAAGTGAATTCAGTGCCAAGCAATATGCTACAAGAAGCCATTTCTTTAGCCTGCCAACTAAATGAAAGGCTATAATGGGTCAAAATGCAATGCTGTGTTCTTCATCATTTTAAAACGCATGAATGTGGACATATTTAAAAGCTTTAAAGAAATAAACTACATTCAAAATCCACACTATAGGCTTCAGAATGAGTGGGTTTATTTACATTATTCGTCTCTTCTCCGAGCCAGGCTACAAATTAAAAGCAGACTCGTAACAATAAAGAACAAATATATTTCTGCTTCTAACCGTCTCAGATTTTTGTTTACAGTCTTTCTAGGTTAAAACAGGCTAGACTAATGACCCGGGTTACATTTAAGTCCTGCATATTTCCGCTTCTTAGATTGGCTGCTGTTCTAGAATTTGTCATTTTTCTTAGAAACAATAAAAATCAATTAACACCTCCACAAAAGTTGAGCTCCAACAGCAATAGCAGTAGTGTATTCTAGCAGGAAAACGGCTTGAATCTTCCTGATGGCCTGTCTAGCACATTAGCTAGTAACACGCAGGCTACTCAGCAAAACAATAGGCCTTCTAGTCACACAGCCGAAAAGTTAGAAAAGAAATCCTGCACGCGGGCTGCATAAATCATTTTTAGTGCATGTACATCAATCATCTTTTAAAAGAAATGGATACAGCCAAGTTAGCGAACTGACTCATTTGCAAACCCTGACGTAGCGAGGCGAAGGGGCGAGCATTGGTCCACGCAGACAGTAAATCTGTTTGAGGAGCTTTACGGCTCCTGTGCGCCCGCCCTGCGCTCACAGGACAGAGCCCTCACATCGCCTTTGACCCGTTTAAAGTTTACGGACCACAAACCCTCCACAGCCTGTTACATAATTTAGCACAGTGTTGAAAAAAAAAACAAAAAACAAAAACAAAGGCATCGCGTTTGCTCAGAAGCCCACAGCACGCTGACCGCTTTACTGCGGGAATAGGCATCCTCAGTGCATCTGTTTTTCTTTTTTTCCCTGATCTAAATCTACTCTGAGCCCAGATCTAGGCATCTAAAAATACACCAACTTATTTAGTAAGTAGCACCGAACGCAGCGATGTGGAGAAACTAATATACTGCTTATATTAGACATTATTAGCCACGTAAACAGCAGCGTAACAAACACGGGCTAAGATGCAGAAATGAATGAACCGCATGCATGTATGTGTTTGGTTTTTACCTGTATGCGTCCTCTTGTGGATCTTCAGGTTCTCTGACCGCGCGAAGACTTTGCCGCAGCCCGGGAAAGGGCAGGGGAACGGCTTCTCCCCCGTGTGCACGCGAATGTGGTTGACCAATTTGTATTTGGCTTTGAAGGGCTTGCTCTCCCGCGGACAGTCCTCCCAGAAGCAGACGTGGTTGCTCTGCTCGGGCCCGCCGACGTGCTCCACGGAGACGTGCGTGACGAGCTCGTGCATGGTGCTGAAAGTTTTATTGCAACTCTTCTTGGGGCTGCTCAGCTGCTCGGGGTCGATCCACTTGCAGATGAGCTCTTGCTTGATGCACTGCTGCCTCATGTAGCGGAAGAAGGCGCCGGGGTGGTGGTGGTGGTGGTGCGCTGCCATGTTCATGCCCATGTTCATGTTCATGGAGCCGTACTGGTTGTGCAGCTGCGCGGCCGAGTAGGGGTCGGTCCTGGGGCTGGACACCTGATGGTACTGGTCGGAGCGGCCGAACACCTCGCCCGCCAGACCCAGGCGCATCTGCCCGTTGAGCACGTTAGGGGAGCCGTGCGAGCCGTGCTGCTCGTGGATGCCCGGGAACAGGAGGTGGCCCTGGCCGTCCGCGTGGGAGTGGTGGAGCGAGCTGGCGGCGGGGCCGAAGAGCGCGTGCTGGCCGCCGGCCGGCGACGAGTCGCCGAAGCCGCGGCTGCGGAACAGAAAGTCCCGCGTGGAGTTGAAGGGCGAGCTGGCGTACGACGTGACATGGGCGGCGTGCGCGCCCAGCGCTGCGGCGGGGTAGGCGGGCGCCTGGGACGTGAACGCCGAGCTCTGTCCCGGGGAGAGCTCGTGGTTGAGTTTGAAGGCGCCCATGTGAGCCGCCGAGTCTACGAAGCTGTTCTGCGCTAAGCTCAAGTCCCTGTCCTGCATGTCGCTGGCCGCGTGGTGCCTCGCAAACGTTCCAACTCCCAAGCCGGGGAACTGGTGACCAGCGTCCAGTAGCATCGCTTTCTCGATCGATGCGAATTGAGCTTTAAAACCAGTCCGCGCAATAAACAAACAAATAAACAACAACAACAACAAAAAATGCAGTCAGCTACGGAAGTATTAACTTCCAATTTTGAAAACACGACATGAGGTGAACTTCTAGGCGCTGATCCGCTCACAGGAGAAGAGGAAGAAAAAAAAACACAAGCTTTCTTACTCAGCTCGTCTGGACTGTTTTGTTTTTTTTTTCTTCTTGTGAATAACTTGTAACTCAAAATCCCATGGAAAGGAAGGGAACAGATTCCGTTGCGTCTTTCCGTTCAAAATGAGTCGATGTGCTGGTATACACTAAATCTATTTCTTAAATCAAACGAAAAAAGGAAAAAATAAAGAAAAAAGCACGACTGATTTTGTTCTTACTGTGTCTTCTTTAAACGAAGTACGACTTCTTGAAGCATCTCGGATTGGAGTGTTTATTTCTTTCGCCTGGCTGTGTTTATCTCGGAGGGTCTCTCTTTCTCAGTGGACTGGCCCTACCTCCTCTTACGCCCCCTTTAACTGGAGCCCGGCGCTCCGTTTGCCGCGCTTTCATTGGCTGCCGCGCCGCGTCAATCCCGCCGGACCCGCCAATCAGAGGCGACGCTTCGGCGACTAATAGGTGATCGCCATTTTCCACCGACAATTACCGCCTACTTTTTTTCGGTGAGTCTTTTCTGGGGGCGGATGGCAAAGCAACGCGGGCTTACTATCGTTTATTACACCATCAGCACAGCGCTTATAACGACTCAGAAACGGCGTATGAGCGATTATAGAGCACGTGAGACAGACTGCATTGCTGTATAGTGGAACTGTGAGCTCCAGGAGTGAACTGTTAAACCGCTCGCTTGCTTATTTATTTCATTATTTAGCGAGGAGATTTGGGTTATATGCGAATCTAATTAACGTACCGCAAAACTGTAATCCACCATTCAGACAACGCTGGCTTGAGTAAAGTAGAAACACGTAAGCCCCATCATTCAAGGTGGGCCGTGACTCATTTTGTACGTAAGTATCCAAATACTACAGCCACAATTTAGCCAAGTAGCACATTGTTTGGTGCAGGCCTGTTATAGCAGCAGCCCATGGGAATTGTACAAGGGATCCTTTTTCAAACTGCACTGACATGTTATAGATTAATTGTCACTGCTCATAGATAAGAGAAGAAAGAGAAAAATATGCAAAGAACAGAGAAGAAGGCAGAACGAGTGGTCATGAATTTTTCACCAGCGTTTATAACAACAGCCTATATACACTTTCAGTGCTCCCTGGGTAGCTACTATTCATTTTAACAGTTAAATGTTGTGCGGACAACGTCTTGTTTTACGCATATAATAACGCTGATCTACAAGTTCTTGATTTAAATACAAGTACTACGAACATGCTACATGCATAAATTACATGCTCTGCTGTAATAGAATTCAGAAGGTAAAATGGGCATAAAACGCGTTTAATAGGCGATTTTGCAGCTAATACGGCATACTAAGCATAGGCTTCTAGTCATCATGTTCATACATATTCCACCAGACACAGCATGCACGCGCACACATATACGATTAGATTTACATTATTGCATTTTTAGAAAAAAAATGGATAAACGTGACGTCATAAATTCATGGCACATAATATATTATGTGAATAAATTGGGATAACAGGGAATAAATGAGAATAAATGGATACACGATCCAAATGTGTTACATCAACACAATTCTTGTAAAAAGGGGAACGTAAAAACAGCAACTGTGCGCATGTAACGCATTTTATTCATGTGCAACCGTTTGTCACATTTCAGGCATGAACCTTTTTTGTACAATTTTTTTTTTTCTTTTTTGAAAGTAAACCACATTTCCTTTTTCAGCCTTATCATTTTGTATTCATTTTAATTACAAAAACAAGTCTTTGCAGCTGAAGCCACCCTAGCCTCACTCAACTCTCCAAATGGCAGCAGCCTGTAGGGATTATTCCCCGACCAAAATATAAAGTTACAACACATTCAGGGCTAAACCCAGAACCTCACACACGAAGGGAAAAAACCCCACCAACCTTAGGGTTCAGCTAAAAGGAACTTACTTACACTCTCACTGAACTCATGTTCCGCCAGGTCCTGCTCCAGCACACTACAAACTTTCTCTTGTCTCTCGCCTCCAAACGCTTGCAGCGGTCAATAACAGGGCGGAAGAAGTCGAAAACTCGGGGATTTCTGAGCGCCTCCGCTCAAAGCCCGTGCAGCTCGAACGTTATGTACCATTCTTCCCAGACTATTTCTACCCTCTCCGCAGGAAACACAGGATCTGATCCAAGTTCAAAGTCACGTCTGCCGACCTCTCTAAGAAGTTCTTTATTTCTCCAGAAAACCACAAAAAAGCCCCTTTCCCCTTGTCATGGGCAGGGAGGAGAAGAAAAAGAAATCAGAAAGAGGGCCAATGTATTCGGCCTGGGGCAGAAAGCTGTAGGTTCTGTTCCTCCCTTCCCACGGCGAGGGAGAAGAAGAAGAAAAAAAGTTGGAAAAAACACTATTTTTGTCCAACCTCAATAAAAAGGTGATAAAAGTTAGATGATCATAACGTGTAAACTTGAACATTTGCTGCTCAGCTATGTTTACTATGATGTTCATACTTCCTACTGATGAAATGAATATAAATGTTTTATTGTTATTATTATTATTGGTATTGATTGGACGCCTTTAAGGCACAACACGATATCTGACGTTATCAATGTGTTGGGGCACTGTTGGTTACTTTCAGTGACCTTGGGGTTTTGAAGGGTGTTTGACCTCCGACCTGTCAAGACCACATATGTTGCCCCTTGAACATACTATGTAAAGAACACCCCCATTAAAACAAAAGCTCTCTGTCTCAGAGTTTTAAAAGGGCTCAAACGGTGCTGATGCACATGATCTGAATAGGGCAGCGTGGGTGACTGAGTACTGAGCAGAGCCATGATTTATGTTCAGGCCTACATTCAGACAGTAGATCAGGTGTGATTTCAATATTTATATGTACACTTTTTTCGCACTCAAATTTACACTTGAAGAGAGGATTGCAGCAGCCGGTTGATTTGGGTGGCCAGTCCGGGGTTAAATGTTGCGCATTGACTTATTAACGTATTTCTAATGGACGACGACATAATGAAGTTTCTTTCCCGGTAAATCTCAGTAATGATGAGTGGAGGGATGCTCCCACTCTATACGGTCTCAAGCAGTATATCCGACCCCTGACTCCATTAAGAGGTATGACTGAATATGATTGAATATGTAGGAAATGAAAATGAACTCACAGAAAACAAAAACCTGACAAAACGCCCAAACACGTCCGCAGCTGAATAACTGCTAATAACCTTATTAATAATTAATTAATGACAAATGAAATAATGTTCCATTTATTTTTTTCCAGTTTTAGTTTATCTATATCTGACCAACCTATCAATTCTGTAATCATTATTTAATACATTATTTTGGTTGTCTGGTCTGAAAATGATTTGTAACCGTTACTTTATGGTGTTCGCACATGGAGAAGCGTGCACTGCACTCATGTTCATGATCTTCATGCAGGCCAATGATTGATCACAGATGGTATTATTTAATGTATTCGTGAGAGAAGTATTGTATTGCACAGCCTGTTAAACAGTTTAACCCTGTCTGTGCTAAAGCGAAGCTGTGGCCACAGTTCATTTCTGTGCTGCCTACTAATATGAATCAACTGCATGATTTTGAATTAAGACATATTAAATCGATGACAGATAAACGTCCTGCTGCGTTCAACATGAACCTTAAAAGGGCGTGGACCTGTATCATAAAGTTCATCAGAGAGAGAGAGAGAGAGGGAGAGAGAGAGAGAGACCGAGAGACAGAGAGAAAGAGGTAAAGGTGCCAAATTTTAAGGAAATTTCCGAGATTTTTTTCAAAGAAAAAAAAACAATCTTCAGTCTTAAATGATCTGTGCAAGGCTGTAGACTAGAGTTAAATATTTTTAGTCCACTGAGAGTCATGGTCCTTTGCTTCTCGATGGTTTATATATTTTAGTTTTTTTTTTAACCATTATATAATTATTTATTTTTAAAAAATATATGTATTTGTAAGTAATGCAGGTCAAATAGAATTTAATCATAGGTTAATCCTAATGACATGATATTATGTTATTTTTGGTAGCATTCACCTTCATTCAACGCCGTTTGATTCCAGTTCGTTTGCTTGTGTAAACAACTTTCCAGAAAAAAAACAATTAAAAAACAATAAAAATACAACATATATTATAATATAAATAATACATAAAACTGATAAAATACAAATAAAGCCTTACCAGTAAAAACAAAACAATTGGCATTATTTTGTAGTGTTGTTTTTCCTTTTTGCTTTGTTTTTCTTTCTTTTTAAATTTATTTTTTATATTTATATATAATATAGATTTTGTTTTGAAGGCTGCAGTGTAGGTGTGAACACTTTGAAGCGGTGAAACATCAGAGAATATAAAACATTACACGCACTGTCTTAGCGCCGTAAACAACGGATGGGCTGTTCTTCACTTTTTTAATGTAATAAAAAATCCACGTTCATTTCCAGAAAACTCAGTTCGTGATCATTAAATATTTTTTAAAACGTGTTTTGATTGATGATTTTTCCCCCCTCATTTATCAGCAGATTCGCTGCTGAAGTGATGAAACGAGCGCTTGGTGCGGAATTTAGCTTCAAAAGCGGAGCACAAACCGGAGCAAATGAGACACAGAAACACATAAACGTAGTGTTTCTGCGTTTGTATGTAAAAAAAATAACGGTCGTCCACGTGCGCGTGCGCTGGTAAACAGAGCCGTACAAACAGATTTGCGTGTAACTTTGTGTGAGCAGAACTTTTTGGAGTGAGGAGCGCTGTGGAGAGTGAGGGGGCGGAACCCCGCTGAGCCTCTGCGCTGAAAGACAGCCAATCGCTTCGTTCTCTTAACTGCCAGTCACCGAAATCTGTCCAATACCCGCAGTGCCATTTCTAAACTGTATTCCCCACTGTGTCCTCCAACTGTTGTATGTTCTGCCAATCGCTTGAGGACAGAGTGGGAAAAGGAGCAAGCAGAGTTAGAGGCAGGACAAAAGAAGTTATATAGACGGCTATATACATACATTTGAATGTTTTCGAGAGCGTGTAGTGGGGGGAAAAAAACAATAGGAGAGAGTGCGGACATGACAGTGTAGTTATGGAGCCCCCTTTGAGCAAGAGGAATTCGGCGATAAGATTAGCGGATTTGGCAGCGACTCAGCCCCTTCCTCATCAGAATATGACAGGCTTCCCGGGGATAGGGGGGCATCACCCTCACTCCCACCATGCCCACCTCCACCCTGGGGAGATGGGCAACGACCCCGGAGTGGCTCTCACTCCATTTGGACCCGAGCACATGGCACAGACAAATGCTCTCAAACTTAGTCCATCTCAGCCCATTCAAAGCCACCCCGAAGCCCAGACCGCGGCATCTTTCACTTCTTCTCAGACCACAGTTGGTTTCCCCGTGGCTCACCCCCACTCAGGCTACGCAAGCAGCAGGGACTTCATCCTCAGGAGAGAGCTCTCAGCCTCTGCTATGCATGCACTTGGCGACCAGCATAGTTCCGCCTCCTCCCCTCATCACCATGGCATGTTCATTTCCCCAACAGGTGCTTATGGGCACACGGAAGGTGGTGCCCATCCACTTTTCACTGGACTTCACGAGCAGGCGGCCCCAGGTGCCCACCACCATGCTCTCAACGGCCAGATGCGCCTGGGTCTGCCGGGGGACATCTACGGCAGGCCAGAACACTTCGGCCACAGGCCCGAGCACTATGGACCGTCTTCACTGCACACCTACAACTCCATGAACTTAAATGTGAACATCGCTTCAGCTCCTCATGGAGCCACGGGGGCGTTTTTGAGGTACATGAGGCAGCCCATCAAGCAGGAGCTCATCTGCAAGTGGATTGACCAGGAGCAGACGGCGAAGAAGCCCTGCTCGAAGACCTACAGCACCATGCACGAGCTGGTCAACCACGTCACCGTGGAGCACGTCGGGGGACCCGAGCAGAGCAACCACGTCTGCTTCTGGGAGGAATGTCCGCGCGAGGGGAAAGCCTTCAAGGCAAAGTATAAACTGATCAATCACATCCGAGTTCACACGGGAGAGAAGCCGTTCCCCTGCCCCTTCCCCGGCTGCGGGAAGGTATTCGCGCGCTCGGAGAACCTCAAGATCCACAAGAGGACCCACACAGGTCAGTGAAAGAGCTTGGACAGAAAAGAAAGTTGCTTTTGAGCGGTTAGCGGTGAGCACAACTGTGTGGTGTGGAGTTCGGAAGTCTCGCGCACGGAGACGTATCGCATGTAGTGACGTGCTTCAAAACACTTCGATCGTAACAAACTTTTCGGTCTGTTTTCTCTTTTCATTTACTATTTTTATACTCGACACTGAACCGAATGCATGCACAAAATGTAGGAAATGCGTATTGCTATACAGATTCATTTTCAACACATTCATGGTGGCTTTTCTGCTTGAGTTGGCTACTTTTGTAGAAAAGAAAAGCACTCCGTTCACTTAAACTAGCGAGCGTGTGTTCTGCATTTTCATGTGCAGCAATCTTGTACTTTTTAATGCGTGCATTAACAAAACATAAGCTTTTTAAAAATCTAACCTCTTTTAAAAAAGTCAAACCTTTCAAGACTTTTATATTTACAATATTGACTCATATCACGTGCCTCGTAGCCCCAAAGCAGGAGGAACCGTTTTACAGCGTTCAGGTCTTAAACCGAACAAACTCTACACCTCAGAAGCGCTCGTGTTTTCGACCCCCTGCCTGTGCTGGTGCAGGCCGAATGTAGCACAGTGTTGGTGAAAAGCACGTCGCCCACATTGCCTGCATAGTAGCCCACGGCTAGATCCAAACCGTGCGAGCATCATGCAGCTGAAATTCATCCCCTTGATCTCTTTTTGCCCAACTTTTTTGAAACAAGCATAAGTATTTAACAGAAAAAGTCGGCAGAGGAAGCAAACCTCACTAAACGTCTACCACTGCGTGCACGTGTAGGGAAATACGGCCACGCCACAGTGAGGCCCACTGAATCCGCCATTTTCACTCGCTTTAATCCAAAGTAACCCACAGTACTGTCTCTACACGAACTGTGTAGTGTACACTAGTGCTGAAATGTTGGTCCATATTCTCGTGCTGACGTCTGAAACTGATTTATCCTGTCCAGCAGCCTCGCTGTACTCCAAACACGTGCTCTCTCCATTAGTCAGCGACACACAGAGGCTACAGTGGCACAGGCTGCATGTTTACGGTGCACAGGCGAGGGCTGAAATGCAGAGAATAGTCTGATTCATCAGTGCATTCATGTTTACAGTGGAATAACACGTTGTTTGCCCGGACTTTACATTTCATACATTTAGAGCTTATTCTGCTTTTTCAGTGCTGATGTTTGGTTGACTGGCCTTTAATTGACTCTTCACTGGCCTTTGCTGCACTTGAGGTTTGGCTGAATATTGCTGACCATACTGATGTTTCACAGGCAAAAAAGTCCTGGTAAGACAGCACGTTCAGCACAGTCTTGGGGGGCATTGTTTTATAATGCATCTATATTTTGTCTGCGAGTGTGCAAGCAGACATGAGCAAGGCGCAGATGAAGAAAGTTACTTGACATGCTGGATGAGGCTGAATGTCATCAGTGTGGTGCATTCGTGCGTTTACAATTGGCCACCCGACTGTAGCAACTTTGGCCACTTAAAGTTGTAAATGCTGCATCTGTGTCTTCAAATCAGGTGCAGCATCTCTCCTTATTGCTGCCTCTTCTTAGAATGATGTGAAGTTATAAATATACAGGCCAATTAAGTCACATTGCAGTGCCATCGTCCATGCTCTGGGTATTTGAAGACTCAGATAGCCGGCGGGGAACTGGTCAATTACTATCATTCTTGTTTTCCTTTTCAGGCGAGAAGCCCTTCAAGTGCGAGTTTGACGGCTGTGACAGAAAATTTGCCAACAGCAGTGACAGGAAGAAGCACTCTCATGTCCACACGAGTGACAAGCCTTACTACTGCAAAGTGAGGGGCTGTGACAAGTCGTACACGCACCCCAGCTCCCTGCGCAAGCACATGAAAGTCCACTGCAAGTCTCCTCCGCCCCCCTCGGCCAATTCGGGACCCGCGTACCATCCGTCGTCCGGCGGGCTCGCCGATAGCCTCTCTCCGGCCGCGGAGCCCCACAGGAGCCGCTCCACGAACCTTTCTCCTCAGGTGACCAACCTCAACGAGTGGTACGTGTGCCAAGGGAGCGCCGTCCCCAACCACCTCCACACCCCCTCCAGTGACGTGCCAACGTCGGAATCCGACGACGAGGACTCTTACAGACACTCAGATCCGAGGACAATGCTCTGATGGGAGCACACCAGGAATATATTTATGTTACATTCCCACCCCCACTGTGTTTTTTGTTAACTAAATGTGCTCGATGCACTTACATAAGCATTCCAGGATGGAGGAAGGACGCGCAACAGCGCCGCGGATGTCAGGTGGTGAAGAGCATCTGCCCTCAGCACCTACCCGTTTGCCCTTAAGATGTGCGCTCGTGTCGCCATTAGGTTTCCCATTCATACCGTAACGACTGCAAAGCAGTGGACTGGACAGGCATTTTGGATACAAACGGCAGAGAATGAATGAATGAATAATAGAGCGAGGCCTATTGAGCGACAGCACATGGGACCACTTCGCACCCATCTCTCGAAACGCTGGTCGGGGCTGCAGGCGAGCTCCTGCTCCTGCATTCACAACGCGCTCTTAGTTGATTGAGTCATATCCAGTCTGTGAAGGTGCGCCGACACTGGTCGTGTGAAACAATAAGCAGTTAATTAATGTGCTTGTATCGATGAGTGGACAGATTTATGTAGCTTATGTTCCCCCGAGAGGTCTTCTTTATGGTGATGTACTGACGTGGAGTGTCTGAGGGACAGTTATTCTTTTTATCAAGTGTTATGTAACATTCCCAATGTTTGGCAGTTGAGAGTCATTTTCAAGCAGGCCTATCAGTCGTATCATGTCAGTGTCAAGGGAAAAAAGGTTTATTCTAAAAAAAAATAAAACAAAATAATAAAAAAATGATTCAGTATTTGTTAAAGTTTATACAATAACTGTGGTCGGGGAGAATTTCTTTTGTGATATTTAAGGACTATTTAAAACTATATTTTATGCAAAAGCCAATGTAACTCTGATTTAAGAGTACGAATAATGTCCTTTGAGACCCTAAATAATGTACAATTGACGGGCCTGTATCCCTGACGGATTTGTAAAGAAAGAAAAACAGAAACAAATGGCTAATAGTGGTGATGTTTGTGAATGTTGTGGTGACGTCCCAACGAGTTTTTTTGTACATTGTAATTTATTTGCTGGTATTAATGTTGGTCTGGAATTACAGATACACCAAAGAATAATATGATTAATTTTGGTGAAATGTAGTGATTTTTTATCGTGTTCTGTAAAAAGAAAAAAAGAAAAAAGGTTTTACTTGAATAGACTGTGTAATGTGAAGTGTCCCTCGCATGCCCTGTGTAGTAACTCTGTCTTTCTGTTGAGGTGCATGGTGCTGTTGATTGTGGTGGTGGGGGGGAAAAAGTAAAGAGGATTGTGGAGATCTTTGATGTTCGTGAAGAAACTCATGTATAAATCTATGGAGTTGAATTAAAAAACAAAAGAAATGTAGATTTTTTTCTTCCACTCAGCCCTTCAATTTTGTGAATTTGCATATTTTGTTTAAAATCACATCTCACAGATTTAATAGCCACTCCACTGATAATGTTGCCCTTCATATTAATTAACAGAACAATATTTATGGCATTTAAGGCAGGTTGGGTTGTACAAACAAAAAAGATTAGTCAGCTTAGTCTGCTCAAATTCCAGGAAATGTAAGACTGATTTCTGGTTGAGTAAAACAGGTTCGTAAGCAATTAAATAAGCCCATCCACACTATATTCCTTATATCCCCGCCACTGGGAGAGCCTATAGATGACTAGCAGTCCCTTATAAAAGGCGGCCAGTCACAAATACACGACTCAGTCATGGAGAATATACAGCATAAAAGATTTCTGAGAATAAAGGGAATTTTGCATTGAGAATATGAACGCCTCACCACCCCACCCCCCTCCTTATTTCCTCCATTAAAACGCGCAAGCACACTTTCAAAGTGCCCCCTGTCCAGACTACAGAATCAAAATTGACCAACGCAAGTCGTGCACCGCTTCAAAGCGATCTTCTTCAGAGCGGAAAGGCGGGCGCTTTGACGATCTTCATGGTGCGTTGGGATTTCTATGGCGATTGGCCACTGAGACGGGAACGTTTGAATATGTCTTGTAGAAAAGCCGCTAAACTGGCTCTAAATGGGAGCTCATCAAAGCAGCCAGAGCACCTTCACCCGCGAGCCCTCATATGGCCTGCGATCATAGTGCATAGTCAGTGGCTACAGTGTTTGGGACGCTCCGCTCTATCGGGGATGTTTGGAAATTCTCCAACAGGCACATGTCAGGAGAGTTCTGGTGTACTGTAATGAAAGAAACACAGCAAGCAGATACGTATCACAAACGGTGCGAAGTTCAAGGGCACCTTAACACCCCGTTCCTCTGCCTCCCTGTAGTGCACTGGCTCCACCGAAGCGGCCCTCTTCAATTCGAGACACTCTATTAAGATACAGTTGCAGTGACCTTAGTTTCATGCCACGTTAGCGCAGTCAATTTGCATTTGATCAGAACCTCTCATAATCTGTTCCCCGAACCTCTGAAATCCCGGGGGCATATTCAGGTTTAATTTGAAACAAGCGACGTCGCACTGCCCACACTTTTGTCCGCAAACTATTCTTTGGCGAGTGAAAGAATGATCTTTTATTTATTTAAAACAAGCGCCCTGTGAATGGGGGGCAAAATAAACACGATGAAAAATAATCAAAGAGATAGTCCCCTCGGAGTGAAAAGGGGGGAACTTCATAAAAGCGCTGAAGCAGTCCCGGCTGAATGAGAGACGCTTTGAAGTAGAACTTATTATCTGAGGAATACTTCTCGGTTGTCCTAACGACGCTATTGAATCGAAAAGCTACTCCCTTTGTGGACGATTTTGTTCTCCTTTAGAGCCGTGCCCGTGGAAATCACTTACACGGGCTACCTTAAACATGCAGCCTGCAAATCAGTAACTCCGCGAGTCAGACTTGTAGACGCCACTTCTGAAAAGACAAAGCAGAAGTCAGTGTGAAAACGCAGCGAGGTCTCTCCCATCTCGCCTTTATTAGACAGAATAATCACATCAGAGGAGCCTGTTTACTGCAGTCTAGTCACATTTCACACCGTCACTTTCTCATTACATTTAACGCGGGCTCAAAGTGGTGAGGACGGTTTTTTTGGGTGTTTTTTTTTTTCCCTAAACAAGAGTTTAAGAGCCGTTGCCCCACTCTCTGCTCTGAAACGGGATACGAACGTTATTTATCATTGCGTTGTCACATCATTAATACGCCAAAGAAATACTTTTAAAAAACTTACAGCATTTAAACGAAATGAAACATTTAAAAATCACCCACAACTATAAACCCTGTAATGAGGAAATACTCCGAAAATCTCTCCTCACTTGGGTCTCATTTGTCGTCTGTTCCTAGTTTTCAAGACTTTTAAAAATATAGGTAGGCATGTGGGCGATGCCATAAAAGAAACGCTTTGGGTTCCCTAAAGAACCGTATATGAAAAAGTTTAAAGAACTTCCATAAAATGGGTTCTTTCTACAGCCTTTCAATGATGGAGAGGTTCTTTACATAAAAAAAGTTCTTTAGGTTCACATTTCATTTACAAAAATGCTAAAAGGTTCTCATTCACTGAAAGGTTCTCAGTGGAACCAAAAGAACCTTTTTTAAGAGCGCATTTAGTGTAGAAAAATTCACTGTAAACTTAAATGAGTTGAAAAAAATCATGCAAACGTCTTGCCTAGAAAAAAAATAAAGTTTCTGATAAGGTTCAAGCTTAAATAATTGTATAGATGAGTTATAGTTACTTTAGTTAATTTATTTAGAGAAACTTATTTCCCCGAAAATTTAAAAATCAAATTACTGAACAGGTTCAAGCTTAGTCTGCACTAAGTGGACCACTGAAAATTTGAAAGTAACTACAACTCATATATATAGTTATTTAAGCTTGAACCTGTTCAGTAACTTGATTTTTTTCGGTCAACTCTAACAGCCCCATCATTTTAAACAGTGTCCATTAAGCTGGCAGTGCTCTATTCTTTCAAGCAAAATTGGTGAGGTGAACTTAAAGCAAACACTCTTCCTTATGTGATGTATTGGCAACAATTAAAGCAACTCCACCATATTAAATTGACTGTTTCGTACAACAATGAATAAATGGCTTAAATAAGACTGGAATACACCATTCCTGAAGACTCTAAACCTTAATGTATATTTGCCATTTTGTCAGTATTCATGATGGGCTAAACTGGTAAAGAAGAGAAAAACAAACACATGTAAAACGCATCCAAACTCCACATTCACAACGAGGGTTTACTATCACACAAAAAATACCATTTTGCAAAAAGAATGTATATTTATAAATTATTAACAGAAACAAACAAAACAGTTTTTTGTGCAGAAGACTCTTGGGTCTGGGCTTATGCAAATGAACTGATCTTAAAGATTTATCTAACTAAGTGTTCACACAAATCAGTGTTACTAGATTTGTGTGAGTAACTTAAACAAATAAGTAAACACGAAAAAATAATTTTGATGATTTATTATGTTTTACAGTGCTTCAGGTCTCGCTTTTAGGTTGAAAGGTTGTGGGACTCATGCACTGCACCTCAAAACGCTCAAGTTAAAGATCTTATTAAACGCTTTGGGCATGGAAGTCTTGCATGAGCGGCTCCCTTTGGGATTGAGCAACTTCTAAAGCTGATATTAATTAAAACTGCACATAGCCCATCGCTGCTCCAGCCCCAGATCCGAAACACATAAAAATGTTTAACGAAACATAAAATGTAGTCTCTTCATTTTTGCGCATTTCCAGTAAAATTTAACAGAGGTGCAGAACTTTGCTCCTTCTCATGTGATCCGTGGAGGAGTGTATTTCGTAAGTAAGCATGTCTGTCCAAAGCGTTTAAGAGCGCCTCATAACTCTGCGTGTAAAAGTGCTTCATAATTCTGATTCCTAATGTAGAAACGTGTTGCGGAGAGATTCGACTGGTGTGCTGCTTCTCCGCAGTGAGCTCTCTCGAAAGGCAAGAGCAAGAAAACTGGGCACATATTCCCCATCCAGGCAGAGTGCCAAACTCTTCCAAGCACCCTACCTGCCTACTATCTTAAGTTTCCTGAATAAGTGAGAAAACACGATCCAGTTGCAGCTGTAGCCTACATGTCATCTCTCTGGTCGAGTCCGAGCTTTAATCAAACAAACAGACCAAAAAAAGTCGCGTCGGAGCTGAAAACTTAAAGGCAGCAGATGACGCAGTGAGTATTTTATCACGATTATCATTATTATTGTTTTATCTCTTTAGAAAATCCAGGTAGCTACTTCTACGTTTTAACTGTCTGTCTTCGTGTCCCATTGGGGAACGTGTGGTGACTCAGAGATGAGCTTTGTTGGGAAAGTTTGGAGGCGAGCGGCTCTTTGGACTGAAAGCCGAGTCCCATTCAGACAGCTGAGAGTTCACCTATTAGCCCCGATGTCTTTCCGAAAAGATTGGTAGAGTTAAACATCTGACAAAGGGCTCTCCGGGGTGCCGCTCGCCTGACCTATACCCGCTTTTAATAGTTTCATAGGAACTTCATTAAATCAATTACTCAGTGAGCACGTCATCATTTAGTTGTAATTAGCTCTGAAAAAAGTTTGCTTTTTGGGGACGCAACAAAAAAACAGACAAAGTAGATCGAGCGCTCGCATTTGGTCTGAACTCATTTGCTTCTTGCACGTAACGCAAATATCCAGCGCTCAGTGTCAGCCTGGGGAGAG